CATCACTTTAAATATGTCCTGCCAGTCCCTTCTGGCTTGAAGAGTTTCTGCTGATAGATCAGCTGTTAACCTTATGGGGATTCCCTTGTGTGTTATTTGTTGTTTTTCCCTTGCTGCTTTTAATATGCTTTCTTTGTATTTAGTTTTTGACAGTTTGATTAATATGTGTCTTGGCGTATTTCTCCTTGAATTTATCCTGTATGGGACTCTCTGTGCTTCCTGGACTTGATTAACGATTTCCTTTCCCATATTAGGGAAGTTTTCAACTATAATCTCTTCAAATATTTTCTCAGTCCCTTTCTTTTTCTCTTCTTCTTCTGGAACCCCTATAATTCGAATGTTGGTGCGTTTAATGTTGTCCCAGAGGTCTCTGAGACTGTCCTCAGTTCTTTTCATTCTTTTTTCTTTATTCTGCTCTGCAGTAGTTATTTCCACTATTTTATCTTCCAGGTCACTTATCCGTTCTTCTGCCTCATTTATTCTGCTATTGATCCCATCTAGAGTATTTTTCATTTCATTTATTGTGTTGTTCATCATTGTCTGTTTCATCTTTATTTCTTCTAGGTCCTTGTTAACTGCTTCTTGCATTTTGTCCATTCTATTTCCAAGATTTTGGATCATCTTTACTATCATTATTCTGAACTCTTTTTCAGGTAGACTGCCTATTTCCTCTTCATTTGTTAGGTCTGGTGGGTTTTTATCTTGCTCCTTCATCTGCTGTGTGTTTTTCTGTCTTCTCATTTTGCTTATCTTACTGTGTTTGGGGTCTCTTTTTTGCAGGCTGCAGGTTCGTAGTTTCCGTTGTTTTGGTGTCTGTCCCCAGTGGCTAAATTTGGTTCAATGGGTTTGTAGGCTTCCTTGTGAGGGGACTAGTGCCTGTGTTCTGGTGGATGAGGCTGGATCTTTTCTTTCTGGTGGGCAGGTCCAAGTCTGGTGGTGTGTTTTGGGGTGTCTGTGGACTTATTTTGATTTTAGGTAGCGTCTCTGCTAATGGGTGAGTTTGTGTTCCTGTCTTGCTAGTTTTTTGGCATACAATGTCCAGCACTGTAGCTTGCTGGTCGTTGAGTGAAGCTGGGTGCTGGTGTTGAGATGGAGAGATCTCTGGGAGATTTTCGCCGTTTGATATTATGTGGGGCTGGGAGGTCTCTTCTTGACGAGTGTTCTGAAGTTGGCTCTCCCACCTCAGAGGCAGAGTCCTGACTCCTGGCTGGAGCAGCAAGAGCCTTTCATCCACTCGGCTCAGAATAAAAGGGAGAGAAAGTAGAGAGAATTAGTAGAAGTAGGAGGAAATAGGAAAGAAAGAAAGAAAGAAAGAAAGAGAGGAGGGAAGGAAGGAAGGAGGGAAGGAAGAAAGAAAGAAAGAAGAAAAGAAAGGAAGAATAAAGAAAATTATTAAGAGGAAAAAAACGGACGGATAGAACACTAGGACAAATGGTGGAAGCAAAGCTATACAGACAAAATCTCACACAGAAGCATACACATACACACTCACAAAGAGGGGAAACGGGGAAAAATTCATAAATCTTGCTCTCAAAAGTCCACCCCCTTAATTTGGGATGATTCGTTTTCTATTCATGTATTCCACAGATGCAGGGTACATCAAGTTGATTGTGGAGCTTTAATCTGCTGCTTTTGAGGCTGCTGGGAGAGAAATCCCTTTCTCTTCTTTGTTCTCACAGCTACCAGGGGCTCAGCTTCGGAGTTGGCCCTGCCTCTGCTTGTAGGTAGCCGTAGGGCGTCTGTTCTTCGCTCAGACAGGACGGGGTTAAAGGAGCCGCTGATTCGGTAACTCTGGCTCACTCAGGCCGGGGCGGGGGCACGGAGGGCGGGGCCGGCCTGCGGCGGCAGAGGCCGGCATGATGTTGTACCAGACTGAGGCGCGCCGTGCGTTCTTCCGGAGGAGTTGACGCTGGATCCCGGGACCCTGGCAGTGGCGGGCTGCACAGGCTCTCCGGAAGGGGGCTGTGGATGGTGACCTGTGCTCGCACACAGGTTTCTTGGTGGCGGCAGCAGCAGCCTTAGCGTCTCATGCCCGTCTCTGGAGTCCGTGCTTTTAGCCGCGGCTCGCGCCCGTCTCTGGAGCTCCTTTAAGCAGCGCTCTTAATCCCCTCTCCTCGCGCACCAGGAAATAAAGAGGTAAGAAAAAGTCTCTTGCCTCTTCGGCAGGTCCATACTTTTCCCCGGACTCCCTCCCCGCTAGCTGTGGCGCACTAACCCCTTGCAAGCTGTGTTCACGGCGCTAACCCCAGTCCTCTCCCTGCGCTCCAACCAAAGCCCGAGCCTCAGCTTACAGTCCCGCCCGCCTCGCCGGGGGAGCAGACAAGCCTCTCGGGCTGGTGAGTGCTGGTCGGCACCGATCCTCTGTGCGGGAATCTCTCTGCTTTGCACCCCGCACCCCTGTTGCTGTGCTCTCCTCTGTGGCTACGAAGCTTTTCCCCTCTGCCACCTGCAGTCTCCGCCCGCGAAGGGGCTCCTAGTGTGTGGAAAGCTTTCCTCCTTCACAGCTGCCTCCCCCTCGTGCAGGTCCTGTCCCTATCCTTTTGTCTCTGTTTATTCTTTTTTCTTTTGCTCTACCCAGGTACGTGGGTAGTTTCTTGCCTTTTGGGAGGTCTGAGGTCTTCTGCCAGCGTTCAGTAGTTGTTCTGTAGGAGTTGTTCCACGTGTAGATGTATTTCTGGTGTATCTGTGGGGAGGAAGGTGATCCTCCGCGTCTTACTCTTCCGCCATCTTAACCTGTTTCTCTTCCGCCATCTTAACCTGTTCCAAGAGGTTTGATATTTTTTCCTCATTCCTACTTTGGGGATCACCACAGTAAACAATAAGTAAAAATTGTATCTAGCTAACTGGGAGAGTAAAGTGGCATTTATTTCAAGTGAAGTTCATTTCAGTGATTATAAGTAAATGGGATGTTAGAAGATTTAGGAGGCTATCAGTGGTAGAAGAATGAAATGACAAGACTCTGAATGAGCAAACACTGTAAGTGAAAACCATGGAGAGACTGACGGGCAAGGAAGAATCATTTGGAAAATATATGCAGAGTTGTATTAGAGGAATAAGGAGATTTGAACCAGTATAGTGGGAAAAATTGTGGGATCATTAGCAAAAATTCAGTTCATGGATTTTGGCATCCACCTTGGACCATTGCCAACTGAGCAAGAGAGAAATAGAATCTCAGTGTGGTTTTGAGTTTTTCTTCTTATGTATAAAGGTGAATATCTTTGTGTGCGGTCAAGAGTCATCTGCCTTTCTCTTTCTGTGAACTGTCTGTTCATTCTCTATCCCAAAACTTTTAAAAAAATATATTGGTGATCTTTTACTTTTCTAATTTGAAAATCTACATATGTTAGGGATATGAGCCTTTGTCTCTGACGTAAATACAAATGTTTCCCTAGTTTGTCACCTGCAGTTTTACTTTATTGTTGCAATTTGTAATGCCATTAAATTTATCACTCATTTTCCTTATTAATTCTTTATTTTGATCCATAGGTAGGAAAGTTATGCCCACCCTCATATTAGAATAGAATTCATCCATGTTTTCATCTATTACTAGCTCTTATGTTGTTTTATTGCTTATTGTGCATGAATATCTTATCCATTTGCGGTTTACTCTAGTATATGGTATGAAGAATAGACACAATTTTATCATTTTCTGTCTCTCCTATTAGGTTAATGCTCCTGTTCAAAAGTCCATTTTCCGTTATCATTTTGAGACAACTCCTTTATCATAATATCAATTTTCAAATGCAATTTTGACTATTTCTGGATTTTTTTTTTTTTTTTTTTGCGGTACGCGGGCCTCTCACTGTTGTGGCCTCTCCTGTTGCGGAGAACAGGCTCCGGACGCGCAGGCTCAGCGGCCATGGCTCACGGGTCTAGCCGCTCCGCGGTATGCGGGACCTTCCCAGACCGGGGCACGAACCTGTGTCCCCTGCATCGGCAGCGGACTCTCAACCACTGCGCCACCAGGGAAGCCCTAATTTCTGGATTTTAAAGTCTATTTTACTGGCATACATTTTCTCCCCTCACATAATGCCCAGGAAAATTTTCTTTCTTGTCTCATAGTTGAAGCAAAACAGTATAGCAATTAACGCATTTTTGGATATGTTTGGCGTCAGCCTAGATTTGAATGCAAGTTCTGTCTGAAATTGTCTCTTTGACTTTGGACAAATTACTTAATTTTGCAAATCTCCTAAGTTCTCCTGTGTAAAATGGGAATGATTTACAGAGTTATCAATGATTACTTATATAAAGCATTTAGTACAGTGTAGGATTCAATAATTGGCAGCCATATTATTTTATTCTTATCATTATTGTTATGCTAAATGCATATATTCCACAGTTATAGGATTTGACTTCCACTTTATCTTCACTTTGGAAAAAAAGAATGTTGTAGTATACAAAGGAAGATGATACAGTTCAAGGAAATTTCAACTCACTAAAATGGCTGCATTTAAGAAATATCCTCTCTAGACACTGAGTAATTCAGAATATTTTATTTATTTCATATGATTCATTTATTTAGCTGAATACTTATCTTAAGGAAAATATTTGCCCAGCTAGAACAGAATATTCTTATTTTAATTTCCAAGCAACTTGATATTTGGTACAAATTACTAGTCATTGTCACAAGATATGGTGAAAGACCATGCAGATTATAATTAAGATTTATGTACCACTAAAATACAATTTTATAATTCAAAATTTGTTATCAATACACTTTATATCTCTTTTATGTGGTGAAGTTTCAAATTAATTAAAGCACTCACTTAATAAAAGATATTTGGAAAATCATCCAAACAAGTATTTTCACCCTCTTACTCATAAACTAATGAATGATATACCACATTTGCATCTGCTTTCCCTGGACTGTATAATTTTGAAACTTAATTTATTAATAAAATTATGATTTTGTTCCTCAGTTAATGAAGGGAAATAGATGTAGCAAATACACATATTACTTTTTGTTCTCAATTAAGTGCTGAAATATCAATGTCTTTCAGGGACTCCTGAGGATTACCCACGATTTTTTCATATGCATCCAAGGACTGCAGAACTTAGTCTCCTGGAGCCAGTAAATAGAGACTTTCACCAGAAGTTTGATTTGGTTATTAAGGTAAATTTAACTAATTGCTTAACGTTCTTGGGTTTATAAATATAGCTAATGTTCTAATGTTCTTGTGTTTATCAGTGAATCCTCTAGAGGCTACTGTAGGGACTTTTAAGCTATAAAAATTAAAATTAATTTGAACTGCAATTAGCCAATTTTTCTTTAAAAAGGTGAAGTGCAACAGTTCTAATACATCGTGTTGCTTTTCTTTAACATAACTTTTTATATTACAGTGCTATTCAAATACTGATATTTTTATATGTAATAAATGCCTTGGTCAAATGTATGTAATTCTACATACTATATTACATCTTCTAACATTTAGTTTAGGTTTTGTTTTCTGTTTGTTTGTTTGTTTTTTACCAAGTGGATTTAATTTTTGACCACAAAAGCTTAACCAATGAATGTATTTAAAAAGGTGCCTGGATTTATATATATTTTTATTTTAATAATGTGTTATGTTTTTAAATGTTATTGCTTTTTCAAAACTAAAAAGAAAAGAACTTGCTTGTCCAGAAATTATTTTAGTATATGTTTCATTATTTATTTTGAAAAATGATCTTCAACCACAAAATTTTTCAAAGCTAAGGGAATCCATTTGGCATTACAATTTTGATTTAATAATATATAATATATTGTAATAAAATCATTACAAAGGTATTGTGGAAACCCAGATGATCTATCCGTTAATTCTTAGAGACTTTACTGAGAAGGTAAGATTTGAGCTGAGCAGTGAAAGAAGAGTATGAATTTACCAAATAGAGATCGGGGCTAGGAGAAAAGCATTTTAAGTAAAAGAACAGAAATAAGCAAGGACACACAGTATGTCTAGTGTGTATTGTCTGACTTTTTCATATCTAAACATGCAACAAATAGATATAGATATGCAGCCCTATGGCATTTTTTTTTAAATTTAGAAGTGTTAAAAGAAAAGGAAGTAAGTAAAGAAGCTTACTGAGCATGTACATTGTACAAGGTGTTTTATGTATATTTTATAGCCACAACCTTAGTACTTAGTACTGTGCTTATGGGTACAAATGTCAAAACTAAAGTTCAGATAGGGCAAGTGATTGAATCAGAGTTACATCACTAATAAGCAGCAGAATTGAAATTCAAATTTAAGTTTATCTAAGCTAAAGCCATACTTATTTCACTTCACCAACATGCAGTTCCTTAGAAATGGTTTTCTGGTTTAATTATCTGTCAGTGCAACTGCAAACAATAATACATCGATACATTTAATTTTAGCTCAAATTAGGACATACTTTGTTAGCACCGATTATGTTATACACACTAGATTCTGTATTTATTTAGTGTTTCTTTGTCCTTGAAGAATGGGTAGTCTAGAAGGGGAAAGAATCACATAAGCTGATAAATCAAATACAACACATCAACTGCTAACAGGAAGGCAATGTAAAAGCTCTAACGAAGCACAGATTAAGGACATTTAAATTAATCTGGGACTCAGGGAAGATTTTCTGGGGATTATCCCAAGCTCAGTGTTGTATTGGATGGCTTTGGCTAATGAATGAAAGCAGGAAATATGTTTGACCATAAGGAAGAACAGAAGCAAAAGCTTGGAGGCATGATGTACCAGGCTACAAGCAGTTAACAGGGAAATGAGGTATAGAGCCAGACCTTGGAGAGAGCGTTATGTTCGACTGCAATTTCCTTGGATTTCATTCAGTAGGGGTTTGGGAGTCATTCAACAAAGAAAGGCTCTTTTTACCATTTATGTAAAATAGTCACGCATGAGATTCATCTTGCACAGTTTTATTTTTTTTTTTTTTCCTTGCGTTATGCGGGCCTCTCACTGTTGTGCACGGTTTTATTTTAATTATCATTGGACTATATAAAACTCCAAAATGTGTTTCCATTGTCTCCTGTGGATCTACCTGGAGCCCTGTGGTGCTACACTCTGTGGGAGTTAAGAAACTTGACAAAGCACTGTTTCCAAACTGCCCCACTTGAAATCTGAAATCAGTTTTTTTTCTTTATTATCAAAGTTAGTTGTCCTGGTGTACCCAGGTATAGTGAAACTCAGTCTATCAATTATAGAAACAAAAATCAATTGGGACAGGCCACAGATAATTTTTTTTGTTTTAATAAAACTTTATATTATTAATGGAAGTTTTTACCGACATTATTAGATTCCAATTATTGTGTTTTGTGTGTAGTCAAGGGGATAAGCAAAGGCATCAATCTGTGAGAATAATAATGTGGCACTTGCTTGAATATTAGCTGAGTATTGTGTCTTTGTATAGGATCCATTGAAGTGCTACAGTCTGGTAGTTCTCCTCTGCAGTAAGTCTTTCAAATTCTTCCCTTTTTCTTATTTTAATAATGCTTCATTTTTCATTGGCCATAATTATTTTTATTGGACTTGATCCCAATTTCTGTTTTGCAAGCTAAGGAAAAATAAAATACAATGAAGTATCCTCTTTTAGACTTTGAAGAACTCTGCTTTAAAAAGCTGTATGCACATTTAACAGCTGGTGTCACAAATCAGTAATTTATCATCTTCGTTTTATCTATTTCTGCCAGTTATTTACTAAGTATACTGACAAAAATGTGAAGGTGAAACTAGGAAGGCAAAATGGAGTAGTTCACCAACTTTAGAATATTAAAGGATTAAAACACATCTAATTAAAAGAGAAAAGGGTGTTCCATTTTAAAACACTATTCCAAATTTTACATAATTGCAATCATTTAAGCACACTTTAAAATGAAACACACATTTTGAATAAAAATTATAGCCAGTCCTGGGTTTGCCCAGGACAGTTCATGTTTATGCCTACTGTCCTTGTGTAATTATTTATAACACATCTTTCACCCTCAAAAATGTGCCCGTTTGGATGAAAGGTTATGCAGTCACCATAGTTATACAGCAAAAAACAATTATGCAATAGAAATATGAAAGCACATTTTAGATTCTAGATGATGATGAATTATTTCATGCATGGAGTGTCTCTAACAAAGTCCACAACATTCATCTTCATTATTAGAAGTGCAGTATTTTTAAAAAATATTAATAATTTATATATTTATACTCTGGGCATCTAATACAAGCATTAAATGGATAAATTATCAATAATTCACTGTCTTTCAGTTGCTCAAACATAATTTTTTTCTCTAAATCTCACTTTAAAAAAATTTATTTCTTTTATTTATTTTTGGCTGCATAGGGTCTTCATTGCCGCGTGCGGGCTACTCTTTGTTGCAGTGCGCGTGCTTCTCATTGCGGTGGCTTCTCTTGTTGCGGAGCACAGGCTCTAGGCACACGGGCTTCTGTAGTTGTGGCATGAAGCCTCAGCAGTTGTGGCTTGCAGGCTCTAGAGCACAGACTCAGTAGTTGTGGCGCCCGGGGTTAGTTGCTCCGCGCCATGTGCGATCTTCCTGGACCAGGGCTCGAACCTGTGGCCCCTGCATTGGCAGGCGGATTCTTAACCACTGTACCACCAGGGAAGTACATGTCTAAATCTCTTTAATTAACAACTAATAGCAAGGGTCACAATGATACCACAAATATCACTGTATCATGGTCCCTCTGATTTTCATGTTGTTGTTCATTGACCTACTTATACTGCCTAGCAGGCTGACCTTTAACATCTTTTCTTTCCACATAATGAGCATAATTAAGCCTAAGCTCTCATCAGTCACCCTGCATACTTTCTCTGCCAGCCATACTCAACCACTTGCACTGCCTGAAACACCATGCTCTTTCTAGCCTCCAGACATTTGCTGTTCTTCCTGAATCATTCCTCCTTTTTTTTTTTTTAATCAACAGTCTAATTCACACTGATATTTCATTGATGCTTTGTATGCTAAGACAGACAGTTCCTCTGGAAAGGCATGACCACTGATCGGAAGCCCTTCCTTGCATCCTACTAGTCCCTGTGGTGGCTTTGATCATTCTATATAGAATTTGCCTGTTTATTTTCCCCTGACCTTTATAGGAGGGAGGGCAGATTGTAATATATTTCTTCAACGTTGTGGCCCAAGCCCATACGCCTATCCACGTACAATGTATAAAAGTGCTCAAGGGCTTCCCTGGTGGCGCAGTGGTTGAGAGTCCGCCTGCCGATGCAGGGGACACGGGTTTGTGCCCCGGTCCGGGAAGATCCCACATGCCGCGGAGCGGCCAGGCCTGTGAGCCATGGCCGCTGAGCCTGCGCGTCCGGAGCCTGTGCTCTGCAACAGGAGAGACCACAACAGTGAGAGGCCCGCGGACCGCAAAAAAAAAAAAAAAAAAAAAGTGCTCAATACGTATTTCTTGTAATGGCTTTCTCCCTGGCACAGTAAATCTTTTAAGGCTGCTGGATTTGGGTACTGCATTTTCATTGCATTTAAATACATATATTTGAAAGTGCCTGTATTTGATAGAATTTTATCCTGCCTCTGTCAAGAATAATGGTGCAAGGAACTTGTCGAATAAATTCAATCCCTGGAAAAAAGCCATACCTATATTAAGACAGTTTAAAGCTATTTATGACTGTATTTAAACAAACAAACAAAAAATTCTCCTTCTAAGTAAAATATACATATTTTACACAGACAATGAGCCACAGAATTGAAACTGGTGAGCTTGAATAGTAGAGTTAATTTGCCAGTTCTCCTGGCGAGTTACTTTGCTTTAGTAATTTGAGAGTCACAGGACAACAGCGTGCAAGAAATGATTTAGGCCTACAAGAACAGTGACTACAGCCCTTGATCCTACACATGAATCTCTAATGCCACAACCCTAGAAAATATTTGGTCTCTATTTGAATAATGATATCAGTTTTTCTTACTGCTTAGGAATTCAGTGGGTAACTAGGATTCACCATCTTTAAGCTATATGGCATTTGCTAGTTTTCAATTTGCCAAATCCTTTCTGAGTGCCTATTAAGTGCCTGATATTTTGCTTGGTGTTGAGGAGACAGAAATGTATGAAAGCTCTGCCTCAAGGAAGAGGTATGGAAAGTATGGAAATTGCACTTTTAGACATATTTCCCTTCCGATTTCTA